TCGTATTATTATTTTCTTTATTATTATTATTATTGTTTATCTTCTTATATTCTTATATTACTATAATTACTATTATTTTATTCCCTATTAGTATTATTATTACTATTACCATTATTAATATTATTACTACTTCTACAACAAATAATAATAATAATAATAATAATTATTATTATTATTATTATTATTATTGTTATTATTATTATTATTATTAGAAGAAAGAGAAATTGGGAGGAGAGAGTGTATATATTAATGAGGAGAGAGAAATGAGAAGAGAGAGAGTGTATATATTAATGAAGAGAGAGAAATGAGTTGGTGGAATAAAATATATAGGTTAGTTAATAGGTTTTAGTAGGTTTGAAAATTGAAAAAAATATGAATATTGTATTTTTAATAGAAATTTGATAAGAAAAAAATGAGATTTTCTGGATAAAATTATGAAACAAAAATGATCTCGATTTTATGAATAGTATAAAACTGGAAATGAGTTTTGGAAATAAAACAAACATACCCATTGACTCTCACAATCAGTCCATTGTCAGTACTAGGGGTGAGCAAGTCGGACCCATCAACCCGCTACACCCGTCGAACCCGTGAAAAACCGCCCCGTTGGGACCGGACAGATAGATCCATCCATAGGATTGAGTCCTAAAATGGTGAAGAACCGTGGGTTTGGGTCTACGACGGGTTCAATTTTTTTTAATACCCGTAAAACCCGTCCCGCCCCGCCATACAAAACGACGTCGTTTTGTTTACATTATATACTATATAGTATAATAAATTAATATATTAATGAATAAATAAAGTATCTCTAGTGTATCAAATACATAAATAAGCTAAACTATAATTGTGGAAATAATAGCTATAAAGATTATGAAAATCTCTAAGAAAATGTTGGAAAAAAAACATATATATACAACGGTTAACACACGACAGAAAAAGAAGAAGAAGAAAATGGTGTTGAATGGAGCTCAATAGCGTTGGTTATGCTTGAAAATGCTATATTTATTTTATTTAAATTTTGTCTATTAAGTTCTGAATTAGTTATTTTTAGTTTTATATTAATTTTACATTTACATTATTTATGTTTGATTTCAATTTAAGATTTTAGATTATTCATTTTAGTTTCTAATTATTCTCCGTAATACTTATAAATTATATAAAAAAAATGGTTTAGACGATAACGGGTTTCGACCCGTAAAGGTTGGGTCCAACTACAAACCCGCCATGTACCCACCTATCGTAAACCAGTTGAAAACCGACAAATTTGGTTCTTCAAAATCAAGAACCGTTGTTTGACGGGATGAGGGCGGGTCTTGATAGAACCCGCGGGTTTATAGCCCGCGCACACCCCTAGTCAGTACTTAATTGATAAATCATTAACAATATATAAACGGATGTCTTTATTGACATTTTTGTGTACTTTGTGATGGTTTTTTTTTTTTTTTTGAAAATGTAGTACGTGATGTGAATAATGGAGTCTCATCATTATCG